GGAGATTTCAAGGCCAGGACTGAAAATCGGTTAGATAATATAATAAAAGATGATGTTCTTTATTTACCTTTTGACAAGGACAATAAAAACGATAACTTCTCTTGATCTCATAAATCTTTAGATAAAGTCATAAACAACTATTGCTTAAATCTATTAGGCATATGCAAGATACTTGGCATCCTTATAGTTAATAGAAGATTTAAATCAGACATCACAGGCGATCTAACTTGTGTATCGCATTCTGGATGCAGCGTTGTTGACATTTTTATCATTTCCACTGATATTTTTACAAAAATACCAGACATATACTATAGACTGATGTCTCAACTTGAGATCAGAAAAGACACATCTTCCTGTATTCTTCAGAAAAATATATTATTTTGGTAATATAGAGAATGACATCTTGATATTACCTATCATCTGTACCTCATGAATTTATGTTACAAGTCGGTTTAATTATTTCTGAAAGGGGGAATGGACGTTTTCTCTGATGTTATGTGATGTGACGTAGCGTTACGTGATGACTACCTCTCACCAGACAATTTATTTTCTGAGTATCCCATGTTTGTTGCAAGAGGGGCGGAAACAATGTCGGTCTGTCATCATTACGACTGCAAAAGGGAAATATAGAACATTCACACTTTCAATTCTGCTTACAGAATCGCAAACAGATGTGAGATGTATTCAGCCTACTCTACAGAGACAAATGTATTGACCTCATTCTGTAATACATTCTGTCGTGTCGTGTCGTGTCGTGTCGTGTCGTGTCGTGTCGTGTCGAATCGGAATACAGTGTACTTTAAAAGATAAACTTTATTTTTATTTAACCTTGTCCACATTCAACGGTATCAATAAATATAGATAAAAACATAGACATGACCAGATGGATTGTTTCTATATTTTATTGCACAACTAATATGTGCTTCTGTAGTCGGTGACGCTCCATTTGGTCAAAGGTGAAGGTGAAAGTCATCTACTTCTTGGCGGCAACGCAAGAGTTGGCACTAAAGGTGTAGGCGCCTTCTGCGGCCTGGACGGCACCCCTACAATATGAAGGTCCATCGTGAGGCAAAAATGAGGACTTGTTACTGGCACTTTCAATTTAGTATATCAAAGGATGTGTGCAATAATAATAGGGGATATTTTCCGTTTAACAAAAGTATGTATCTTTCATTTATATCTCTGCGACATGCGACAAAATCCCACAACATGTTGCCTTGCTAATTGGATTTCCTGCCCTTGTCTATGATGGAGGTTATATTGTATGTATTAACCACGACCATATACGCCTGTAGGACATAAGTGGTATAACTGATTTGATCACTTTACATTGTTAAGGTTCTTCGTGAGGCAAGAATGAGAAATTGTTACTGGGTTAATGGTGGTTATCTGTTAAATTGTATGCATTGACCATGACCATTCACAACAAAAGGACATAAGTGCTACGACTGATGTTATCACTTTACATTTACAAGAGAACCATCGTATTAATCATCATTGGGATTAATTGCGCCTTATTACAGTCCACTAATCACTATGTTCTCGCATGTTATATCTGGGATGAACTCTACTTTGCTTTGACACTCTTAGTGCTAGGGTGGACTTATGAGACGGATCTCTGTAAGAATATTTCATACATATACTCACTCAACACAGTTCAACTGGCACACGTTGTCGTAGTAGTTGCCGGCGGTATCACAGACGGGATCAAGGATGCGGGGACAAAGACAGTCACAGTTGACAGTGCTGGCTGTGAAGAGAGATGAAGGATAGAATGATATGTCTAATCCTGATTCAGGTCCCTCAGCAAGCATAACGTCGGTACCTCATCAAGCAGAGGGTGGTGGCAATGAATATTTTCCAAACAGTTTACATGTACCTTACACAAAACTTTAAATAGACATTTTGTCAAGACGGCTCACATTACAAGGGGCACGGGAGGCGTCGCGCGGCCAGTTTCTTTGCAGTTTTGCGAACTTTGGGTACGCAAAAAACCTATGATCGTAGGTTTGACTCCCGGTTCGCCCCGATTATGTTTCTAGGTTTGTCAGCACCATACTTATTCGTGAGTTTCACTAAAGTGGTAAACGTTTGAGTCGTGCATCACTTCGGGCTTTCCTCCCACGTTAAGCTGACACGCCGTCATATAAATAGAATACCGCAAAAGGCGGCATAAAACCCAACTCACTCACTCATTCACTGTGATAACTAAATGTAAAACGATAGCTTTATAGCTTGATGGCTGGGTGTGAAGAAATATGAGGGGTAGAATGATATTGATCAGCAAGCACTTGGTTTTTGCAAGGAATATTTTCTACACAATATACCTTGACCGACACATTAAAATGACGACTTTTAATTAGTAAATTTAACGATATCTATGTGTAAACGATATTATTCAGACGCAGTTCATCTGAAACTAACAAGTATGGGTGTGATGGTGACCAACTAATTAGGATCGAAATCAGAACGAATCTGGGATTAAAAACTATAAGAGGATTTCGACCAAGATATCTCAGCGACTTGCTCCATCTCAGGCGACAGTGTCAATTGTGACCCGTGGGAAAATGCACAACGGATTGTGCATGTACATTTGAAAAAAAACTGATTAAACAGAGCTTAAACTCACCACACAGCACCACGGCAAAAACAGCAAGAATAACAGCAGCCTTCATCTTGATGCAAAAGGTGGAGCTTTCTTCCAAACAGGATCAAAGTATCGAATGGATTTAAATGTCTGTATTTATACACTACACAAGCCCCATAAAATACTAATTCAAGTAATATATAGCTCCTCAGTCGATTTTTAAGTCGAGGATATATTGTATCCTCAAGCACCGGGTTGCTATAAGTAGTTTCTTTCACATACTACCAACTTCATATCCACATAAAAACAATCTCATGTGAATGTTAAACTATATTTATTATTCAAACAACATGTTCTGCCATAACATCCACAATTTGGAACTTTGTTGTCAGACATGCAGGTCGTATTGAGTGTTTCAAATGGTATCATTCCATGGCATCGAATATTCAATAACATCCGAAAATCGAAAAACACGAAATGTTTATCGACATTGTAAAATACAGAAGTTATCAGTAATCTCCTGCAGCACTCTCTCTTGATGTGAACTCTCACAGATGTGAGGCAGACATGACGTCACTCTGCAATGGGCTGACGTCATGCCGGAATTCTTTGACGCCTGGTACAACTCAACACATATTGTTGGCAGAATGTGGAAAAAACAAGTAAATGGAAATTGGTCGGAAACATATTGATCGAACTGGATAATAATGTCACGTGTCGTTGCCATGAAGGCATAATCACAACAATAAAAATGGCTTCATCCACCTCTTGATTCACATGAGTAAAAAACAATCTCAACGGTCAACCCATTACACAATGGTAGCATGACAGAGGATAGAACTTACAGCTTATAACTTATAACACAAAGAGGTGAGCAGCAATTATTCCAAGCAGGATGTTGGCATCATCGGCTTATTTCTCCACAACGAATTGCGCTTCGCGTACCCTGATGTTATGGAGTCTCTGATTTTGCAATGGTCTGTCAGTTGTAAAAGGTAAAGTGATGTGTAATGACGTTTAACGCCGCGTTGAATAGTATTGCACTTACAAAGCGACATGCACTAGTTCGGACCAGTGCCGATTTTATAGTGCTAGCCAACTGAGATGCCATGCTTCAGTTTGACATGAACACAATGACAGAGTATACTGCGAGCCGGACCTGTCCTTGTGTTTAAGTCCCTAAATGCCGAGAGCCCGACAGAATAACAACAAATAATCTTTTCACGTCATTTGGTGTGATGCAGCCGGGGATCGAACCCCGACCTTCCGCTCTCTGGGCAGACACTCTGCCACTAGATCTCGGGGGTGGTCCAGTTGTAATAAATATGCAACAATGGTGGTTCATTTGGAACACAAATGCACTGTGTTTCGATAAAAAGCTGGCATTCCTGTCAATGCATGTCATTTGTATAATGATGAGAGGAAAAAACTTGATGTGATCCTAATAAAATCCAGCCATCTGATTGCAGAACTCATATAAATCGGTTGGTCCGCCTGCCTATACGGACGTCATCTGCTTGTCACGTCATGTTTGACATGGTTCCCATTTTGAATTAACATACTGATCTCACTGGCGTCGTAAGGTAGAATTGATATTGTCAAACAAACATAGTTCAAAACACGTCGTGAAAATGAATATAAACTGAGGAGCAAAATAGATTACACCGAGTTTGCTTTTTCGTGTACAGTAAACTACGGTTATAACGAACTCAAAGGGACTACTAATTGTAGTTCGTTATAACCGTAATTCGTTATAAGCATGTATACAGCATAACTACAGCGTATAGTCGGGACTAAAAAGTTAGTTCGTTATATCCGTTAGTTCGTTATAAGCGTGTTCGTTATAACCGTAGTTTACTGTAATTGAAAATTAAAAGAACTATTGTTAAATTTGCCTACTTGACCATCAACCATTCCTTCAAATGTTATAAAATTGTGTTCAGAAAAATTTATTTTCCGAAGTTACCAATCACCAGCATCGTATGATTTTTTTTTTGGTGGTGGTGGGGGGGAATAATGATAAGTTATCCCAAAAAAATATTTAAAATAATAAAACCTTGTAGAAGTATTATTTGAGTGCTGACTAAGCGCCAGTATAGTTCATTTTGGGGAAATAGTAGGTCTAACTTGTGATATTTTTAATTGAAAATCAAATATATGGTAAAATCCACTGAGAGGTATTGTTTCATTTGATCCTCAGATTAACTGAACATTTCAGAACAGCCTTCAACCTTCGATCTCGCTTTGTGTAAACCCATTCAGCTAGTCCGGTATACCTGGGTAATGGCACATCAACTACTCACCACAACCTCGTGCATAACACATAAAGTTTTAAGAGAATTTAAAATCATACCTTACAAATCGGCTAAGGAGACATTTATCTCTTTAATTCTTTATGTGTGCTTGTGTGGTGTATAAATGCGAAGATTTCAATCCATTCGACACTTTGATCCTGTTCGGAAGAGAAGCTCCACCTGTAGCAACAATATGAAGGCTGTCGCTATTCTTGCTGTTCTTGCTGTTGTGCTGTGCGGTGAGTTTAACTTTTGTTTTAAAAGTTCTATTCCAATGTATATCCAGAATCTGTTGTGCATTTTCCAAGGGTTTACATTTGGCCCAATCGTCAGTCAATGTGTCCATAGAGCCAGAATCCTCTCAAATTTGTTTTCAATCCCAGATTCGTTCTGATATTAATCCTTGGTTCGTCGGCATCCCACCCGTGCTTGTTGGTTTCAGAAGGAGTCGGCCTAGTCCTAATAAAGTTTCATAGCTATCGTTTTACATTTAGTAATCCCAGTGAGGGAGTGAGTTGAGTTTAACGCCACCTTTTGTGGTATTTCAATTGTCAGCTGACGGCGTGTCAGCTTAATGGAGGAGGAAAGCCCGAAGTGATCCACAACTCAAACGTTTACCACTTCGGTGAAACTCACAAACATGAATATGGTACCGACAAACCTGGAAACATAATTGGTGCGAACTGGGATTAGAACCCACTATCATAGGTTTCTTGCGTACCTAAGGGACGCAACTCTGCAAAGCGGATGGACCACGACACATAGCTATACTTTTAATAATTAAAAGCCGTCCATTTAAAGTGTCGGTCAAGGTGTATTGTGTGGAAAAGATTCATTGCAACTTCATTGTGCTTGCTGAGGGACCTGTATTAAGATAGAAATATCATTCTACCTTTCATCCCTCTTCACAGCCAGCACTGTCAACTGTGACTGCCTTTGTCCCCGCATCCTTGACCCCGTCTGTGACACTGCCGGCAACTACTACGACAACTCGTGCCAGTTGAACTGCGTTGAGTAAGTATATCCATAAAATATGCTTACAGAGATTCGTCTAATACCTCCATTCTAGGACAAGGAGTATTAAATCAAAGTAGAGTTCATCCCAGATTAGAATATGGTGGTTAATCATCGCCGGTAACGAAACTGCAGCTAACCTATATGACGATTAAATACCACGGTACTTTTTGAGATTTGAAAGTCAAATGTAAATTGATCCAAAAGGTGAAAATGGTCATCACGATGAACCTCTACACTGTAGGGGTGCCGTCCAGGCCGCAGAAGGCGCCTACACCTTCAGTGCCAACTCTTGTGTTGCTGCCAGGAAGTAGATGACTTTCACCTTCACCTTTAACCAAATGGAGCGTCCCCGACTACAGAAGCACATATTGGTTGTGCAATAAAACATAGAAGCAATCCATCTGTCTGTTTTTCATGTATATTTACATCTTCCCGAGCAAGAGAGTTAACTGACTATAAAAGTCCAGTTTCCAACCTTGCCGAACTAGGCTGGTATAATGGAGTTACATTTTGCTAGACTAACGAGTCTATGCATAGTCCAGTCAAAATCGCGCAACGAAATGATGACACGATATACGGCTTTTCCATTGGACGAGTGGTCGGTCGCATGACCGCGAAATTGACGTTCATAAGTGTATGAACGACACAATTTGACGTTCATACGTTTTTCACGAAATCGTGTTCTTGAAATGACGTAAACTCTGACGGGACTGCTTCCACATTCCTTGGGAAACCCCTGGGAATTCCCTAGCACGAAAACATACATAAGCGTTCTTTCTGATCGTTTAGAACCTTTATAATTGGTCTCAGCGTTTCAGTCTACATTGAGAAATGTCAGAGAGCGTGACTGCATGATTGTTCACGAATAGCCTCGCTGCGGCCTATCCTAATGAACAAACGAAGAAATGCACATCTAAACTATCGTGGTATCGACTCAATCCGTGCCTAGGCTGACATTGACCGTCTCCAGCAATCTACGCATTTACCTTGGTGTCTGTTTGACGCATCTTTAATCACCTTTCAATAATCGGTCAGTTGATCAATGATGACTAACACATGTAACCGCCACAGGTTCATTAACAACTTCGGAAATCCTCACGTCACGTTTATCGTGTCGGCCATTTTCACGTCTTGTACTTGATGTAAAGGTATTACGATGCGCTTTCATTGTGACTGACTTGCAGAGGTAGTTCTTTACAGACATTTCTCATCTAATGGTGATATAATTTGAACACATGTGTTGCGTAAGATGTTTCTGAAGAGCAAGTTGTGCATCCATACGCTCATGTTACCTCTCCTTTTGGGGAACTATTTTATTCCGCGATACAGCTGGTTGTTGTTTGGCTGTCAGTGACAACATGAAGTCACACGTACTAAATAAAATTGTGTTTAGATCTTGGCCTACATCCTTTGGGGTAAGAAATTGTGATATAAAATTATAAGAATTGACTTTCACTTTGTGTCGCAAGCTCCGACGTTCATACAGTTTGGCCCTCACTCTACGAAGGTTCATACTCCAATGAACTCACACAAAGTGAAGGTCAATTCTTAATTGAAGTTGTCAATTCATTAGTATATATTCCTGATACCGTCATTGATGTGATACAATTAATATAGTGGCAAGGAACATCATCCCTAATGGTTAATCACACTGTTAGGTCTTGGGGTAAAGCTTCCGGTAAGTTAAAGACAAATTATGTAGACATTTAAAGGGTTGCTTATTCACCAATCAACCCAGACAGGATACGACAAAGGGAGGACAGACTAGAGAGTTGACTGACCACTGGCCATTCTCTGCCATCATTGTTTCATTCCAATCTTCATTCAGTCCCCTCCTACAACACGCATGAGCATAAATTGTTCGGAATGTTGGCGCACGTAAATGCAATGTTGCAGTAACGTATATATTTCCATCAAATAGGGAGTCAACCGGCTTTGTTGTGTAGAGGATAGGGCATCTGTCCAGAGAGAGAGTGAAAGGGTCCGTGGTTCAATCCCCTGCCCCGTCATATCAAAAGACGTGAACATATGGTCACGTGATTAGGTTCACTGTGGGTGTTGTGATTCTGATCTGGGAAAAGGTTTCAGACATATTTCATGGACAACCAACCTGATAAGTATGCCAGCATTCGGATTTACTAACATAAACATTGCTATCACAGTTTGGAGAGGTCGAGTCGGTTGTTTTGTCCCTCGGGGCGGACAACCACCATGCATATACCTCGGTACACAGCTATCATGTCGGATGCCTTTGGCGTTTTGCCTGCTTTTTTGTAGTTAACATTCTTACTTGCCTCAGGGTCCATCTATAACACCCACAGTTCAGGATACAAGGGTTCAAACTATGTTATCTTTTCAGAATGTTTCAGATCAATGTTTGACTCTTGACAATGAGACCACTATTAGTTACCTCGCTAAAACACCAGTTTCGTGACGAGAAAGTGAAGTTGAGAAAACACGTACATGTTTTTGACTTGGGAATACAAACTGATAATCTGGAGGCTCAGTCCCGGCGTTGCAACTTTTCATGGGCTGTCAGATTGAAACAGAGAACAGCGTGTGGGATTTTATGTGCTCGTCACTGAACATCAGCTCCTCCAGCAAAGATGGTATTGAGCGTACCCTAAGACTGCATATCACGCATTGGGAACAGACATGTGATTGTCAAATTTACCTTCTTTTTTGATAATTCTGAAATGTTGACATATTGAACAAAAAATTGAAAAAAAATGAACAATTTCGAGTGTCTGAGGATTTTACAGAGCGAATGCGACAGACAGATCAAAATTGATCACCTTCATAATGATAGCGAGGGGTGACAAAAAAGTCTCGCGTATGAGCTATGGCAAGTTGGTTATCGATGATACGTGGATTGATGATTACATTGTCACAGACAATAATTCTGGACATACCGTTATGTATATGAAATCAAACCTGAATTATAATACAGATTTCAAACACTGTATAATAGATTTGACAACCAGATCTCTGCACAACAGACTGTGGTACTAGCACATAAATATGGTGGTGTCAATGTAGATACCAACCTTGATACTACAGGTTGATACTAACCAGATCTCAGATGGAATACCAGATTCAACCACTTTTCATCATCAAGAAGAAAGTACACAAAACTATTGTTAGGTAAGACCTAGTGAAAACACTGCCTCAATACCAGACATAAATATAACTGATATTATGAGTGGCAACAGTGCCTCAGTTAGAAAAAATGTTATTACCACCATGTGCTCATGGAATATTAACGGCTTCTTCTCAAAAATTGAGTATTCGGATTTTGCTCTCTTTGGCAAATTATGAGACATTTTCTGGTGAATAGAGATAACGCGTATGAATGTGCATGATATTTTGCAAAATTTATTTAACGACTGTGAAATATTTAGTATCTCCCACTTCCTTAAGAGAGTCTGATAATGCTCTGTCTTTCAGGGTGAAGAATGAGTTGTCCCCCTTACATATTTCCTTCTGTTTGTTTCTATCAACCCTGAGGGTTCACCAGTATATTCAGAGAAGAGAATTGAATTGACACGCTCGAAAGGCAATTTATCAACATGCTAATGGCGATTCATTCGAATTTGTATTGTGTGGAGATTTCATTGCCAGGCAGATTGGAAATCAGTTAGTTAAATCATTAAAGTTCATGTTGATTATTTACCTATTGACAAGGACAATAAAACCGATAACTTCTCTTGTTCTCAACAATCTTTAGATAAAGTCATAAACAACAATTGCCTAAATCTATTAGATATGTGTATGATACTTAGCATCCTTATAGTTAATATAAAATTAATCAGACATCACAGGCGATCTGACTTGTGTATGGCATTCTGGATGCAGCGTTGTTGAAAATTTTATCATTTCCACTAATATTTTTACAAACATACCAGACATATACAATAGACTGATGTCTCAAATTGGGATCAGAAAAGACACATCTTCCTGTATTCTTCAGAAAAATATATGTTGGTAATATAGAGAATAACCTTCGCACATCCTGTTATTACCTATCATGTGTACCTCATGAGTTCATGTTAAAAGTCGGTTGAATTATTTCTTGAAGGGGGTATGGACGTTTTCTCTGATGTGATGTGATGTGACGTTACGTTACGTGATGACCACCTCTCACAAGACAATCTATGATCTGAGTATGCCGTGTTTGTTGTTTGAGGGGACTTAATGTGAGATGTATTCAGCCTACTCTACAGAGACAAATGTATTGACCTCATTCTGTAATACATTCTAGTCGTGTCGTGTCAAATTGGAATACAGTTCAAGATAAATTTGATAATTATTTAACCTTGTCGACATTCAACGGTATCACTGAATATAAATAAAAACATAGACATGACCAGATGGATTACTTAAATATTGTATTGCACAATCAATATGTGCTTTTGTAGTCGGGGACGCTCCATTTGGTCAAAGGTGAAGGTGAAAGTCATCTACTTCCTGGCAGCAACGCAAGAGTTGGCACTGAAGGTGTATGCGCCTTCTGCGGCCTGGACGGCACCCCTACAATGTAAAGGTTCATGGTGAGGAAGAATGAAAAATTGTAACTGGTACATTCCCTTCAATTTTGTTAGATTACACAACATGTGTTTTTCCTAATTACGGCAGAAAAGCATATTTATCGTTTCATTAAAATCAATCAATGCGATTAAATCTTGAGACACGGCAAAAATAACACCAAAACATAGTTACACGGTAATTAAATTTCCTGCCCTTGTCTACTGGATTAATGTTTTTGCTGTCAAATGAAGCACAGTCTTGACGACATATTTATTGAAGCAAAGGGGGGGGGGGGGGGGGGGGGGGGTGTTTAGAGAGGACTGTCAAGATAATGGGGGTTGAATGTTAAATTGTATGTCTTTACCATGACCATTCAAAACAAAAGGACATAAGTGCTACGACTTATGTTATCACTTTACATTTTTACGTTGGCTTAGCAAATCGAAAAGAGAACCATCGTATTAATCATCATTGGGATTAATTGCGGTTTCGTTACAGTCGACTATATTCTAGCCTGTTATATTTGGGATGGACTCTAGTTTGCTTTGACACTCTTAGCGCTAGAGTTATGAGACGTATCTCTGTAAAAGTATTTCATTGATATACTTACTCAACACAGTTCAACTGACACGAGTTGTCGTAGTAGTTGCCGGCGGTGTCACAGACGGGGTCAAGGATGCGGGGACAAAGGCAGTCACAGTTGACAGTGCTGGCTATGAAGAGACATGAAGGATAGAATGATATGTCTATCCTGATACAGGTCTCTCAGCAAGTATAAGCTTGTTGCAAGGAATATTTTCCACACATTCTACCTTGTCCCACACTTTAAATGAACATTTTGTCGAGTTGCGAACCTTGGGCATGCAAGA